CCAAGGTCTCTTCCAACACAACCCTCTCTGGGATTCTACATTAGAAGCACAAGACACATCTGAAAAAGAGACCACAGCAAGAACAAGCAAATGGCTTCTGCAGCATCAGGTTTGCAGGAAGAGATATTCCAGTGTTTCCAGCAAGTTGTACTGAGCACACTGGCTGCCATCCAGCCAACAAATGCTCCAGAATTAACAGAATAGATGTGCAGGAAGGGGAAGATTTAAAGACATAAAAATAGCTCTGTTTTGGTAAAAAAAGGAGCTATAGTCAGATACACAGGTTATAGACATGCAAATTTAAGAGAGTCTTGAGGCAGTTTACAAGTGTTGATTAATCTGTTTAATTTAAAGTATTTACCTTAAGTATGAAGAAATCAAGTGCAGAAGGGTGAATCTGGCCTGGCTGAAGGCCATTTAAGGAGGAAACTAGAGCAGAAGTTACTCTGAGGATGAGCTCCCCCATTGTCCACAAACCAGTTACTTTAAGAACCAAATTACCACCAACTCTGGTGTAACAGCTCTTTATTTCAACGTCTACAACATAAAGAGAGGGCTTGCATTTTGACCTCGGAACCATGCAAAGCACCTACACACTGAGAACAAGATACTGAACGAGTGTCTCTCTCCTGCTACATGTGGAGTATTTAGTCAGGAAGACTCAGTTTTCCTGTGCTTTCTGCTCTATCCTTCCACAAATCAACCAGCTGTGAGGGGTGGCAATTAACCTTCATTCCAAATCAGACAGCTTGCCACTGAACAGTGTTCCACGCTGCCCTGCTCAAATATGCTTCTGTAAACTTCATCAAGGACCCGGGTCTGCTTTCGGTTTACGAGGACCAAGTCCCAAACACCTCCAGGTACAGGAACAGACTTTCATCAGAGGTACTGAATTAATGGAGAGCAGAATTTGGCTCAAAGGATGAATGTCTCCTCCAGAGGCCCAGAAAAGGCCCTTATAATGTCCCAGACAGAGGGATGTAGAGACTACCCTTGGCTCAGAGAATTGTCACGTGCACAGAGGACAACCAGACATCCTGAACTATTAAAAACCAGTGGTATAGAAAAATAAAAGGCATAAAATACTGAACCAAAAAGGTTCCAAATAAGGCATCAGCAGGTCCCGACTGGATGTGCTCCTGTTATGTACGTCACCCTCCCAGCCAGGGTGGTTAGGAACGATGCATTAGGGTTGTATTTCTGACCTCAGTCACTAAAGCACTACGAGCAACCAGAAGGGTTCAAGTTCTCTTTGAATGAAAAGGAAATGAAAACACCCAAATCACAAACAAAACGAGGAGTATTCTTTTTGGTTAAGTGTCCCTTAGAAAATCAAATAAAAACGTTAAAGCAATTTGTCGAAACGATTCTTTAAAAAAAGGACAACGTTCCTATAAAGTAAAAATATATATATAGAAATAGAATAGATTTTTGTTCTTGTTCTTAAAAAACACAAGAAGACATTCAGCATCACGTCAGCGGATTCTGCCCAACTTCCCATCATCCGTCCTCTGCAACAACCGCTGCTCATTTAAGGCAAGACGTCAAGTTGGCACCGTTACAGCAGGGGAATCAAAGTGGCTGGAGAGGGCCCTCAGCGGGGCTGCTTCTCCCGCACGCTGACCGAGCCGTCCTCCATGCCGAAGTACACCACCTCTGCCATGTCGATGAAGAGTCCCGTCTCCACCACGCCTGGGAAATGAGAGTTCACACTCTGGTTAATGCCACAGACACCCCAGCGCCTGGATTCCCCTGCTCTGCCCATGGGTTGGGTTGTTAAAAGGCAGCAGAGGTTCAGAGAGAGGTGTCCAACACGGGTGATGTTGTGTAGGGAGGCCCTGGAAGTCTCTTCCGTGAGGCCATCCCCAAAAGAATGACAAGACATCAGAGCAGCTTCCAGTGTCTGAAGGGGGATACAAGGATGCTGAAGAGGGGCTCTTCATCAGGGACTGCAGTGACAGGACAAGGGGGGATGGGTTCAAACTGAAACAGGGGAAGTTCAGGATGGATACAAGGAAGAAGTTCTTCCCCGTGAGGGTGCTGAGGCACTGGCACAGGTTGCCCAAAGAAGTGGTGAATGCTCCATCCCTGGCAGTGTTCAAGGCCAGGTTGGACAGAGCCTTGGGTGACATGGTCTTAAGATGATCTTAAGGTCCTTTCCAACCCAAACCATTCTGTGATTCTATGACTTGGAGCAACCTGCTCTAGTGGAAGGTGTCCCTGCCCGTGGCAGGGGGTTGGAACTGGAGGAGCTTTAAGGTCCCTTCCAAGCCAAAGCATTTTGTGATTCTATGATTTTCAGCCACCTGATGACCCAGGGGAGCAGAAGGAAGCCACAAGCTTACTCTGCCTTTAAACACATCTAAAATCCTAACCTGTTAAACAACACCTGGATCACACTTATTTAAATGTTAAGACTTGGCAGATCTAAAGCTACCTCTTCAATTTGCAGCCCATTTGCAAATGTACTTCTGGTTGCATTTAATTATGGGGTGCTCCTAACTTCACAGTGATCACTGAGCTACAGCCAGAGGCCGGGAAGGTGGGAAGAAATGGAGGACAAGGGCTAGGTGGCCACAGCCCTGCTATCACCACTGTATTTAGGCTGTCACGGTTCTGCTCCTCTACTTCTGGGTGGAGAAGATGCTCTTTGCCTCTTAGCAGGTCCACTTCTGAGCAGCAAATGGTGCCGAGATCATCTCCAAACCAATGTCATGGAAAAGGTCCCATCATTTACCTTTCATCTCTCAACCAAAACAGATTAAAGGAAGAAGTCCTTATAATACACTATGTTGCTGCTACGTGGGGATGTTGAGGTTTGTGCAACAGGATCCCAACCTGTTCCTACATGCCCTGACAACACAGAGTCAGTGAAGACAATCATGTTATGGCCTTCAGGGCTAACAGGTACCTGAGATAACTCAAAGATAAAAGATACAACAATATGTATTCAAAAGCTGACCAGATTCAAGAGCAGACTTGGCCAAGATAACCAGAAAAGATACCCAGACGTGGCTGAGCCAGTCTATCTGCCGCTGCACTGAGGTCCAGAGAGTTCCAGAGACCTGGACCATCCAGAAGCAGCTCTGGCCTGGGCAGCAGGTCTCATGCAAGGCAGGAGTCCTTGCAGAGAGGATGCTTCATTTGCAAACAGTGCAATCAGCCACTGCTTCTCTCTTGCACAAGCAATAGCTTAGTAGGATATGCTGCACCCTCACAGCACAGGACTATATGATGGTAATGGGATGCAGAGCTATAAGAGCTCCTGGAAAATAGCATGAACCCCCCCCTCCAGCATCCACCAGTGTGTCCACTAAAAGTCCCTCTCTAAATGGGCACAAAGAGAGGAAGGAGTAGCACAGGACTGGTGTGCCTAATGGGAAACGGTGTCCCTGTGGACCACCCAACATCACCCCAGGTTTTCATCATGATATGGAAATGCCATATGGGTACAGTTGTACTAATTCTCATGTAGAAGAAGATGTAGGGACCAGTAAGAGGGCAGTAAACACACACACACATAATTCTTTCTGTCTAGGGTAGAGCTCCCGTGGTCAGGGTTATCCAGCATGGACCAAGCCTTAGCAACTTCGATTTTGTCTTTTTCAGACATTACCTGGTATCATTTTTATGGCAGTGTTCACTTCACCCCATTCGTGAACCTTGTCAAACTTCCAGTCCAGGATGAAGTTCCCGTTGTCTGTAACCACAGGACCCTGGGAAGCAAACCCATATGTCACACCATGAGCTCCCTGTCTATTGAGCCCAGCCAGGGACTGTCACAGCCCTCACTGGGACCAGCCATCACCACCACAACCATTTAGAGAGTCACTAGTGAAGTAAATCAGGACAGTCCACAATAAGCCTGTAAGTAAAACCATCACCCAAGGCTTGTTCTTTAATCTCCTTCATACAGATAATCATGCAGAAGCAAGAAACGATGGAATTTCGTCACTGCAACAGGGAATCATTTTCCCAAGAGTAAAGCTCAATTACAGTCCTAAAAAGGATGTCACAAGCAACTGAATCCAAAGCAAGACTCCTCTGCCCCAGTGATAAGAGCATGCTGCTGAATGCCATGAGGACGTCTTGGAGTTGAAGAACTGCTGGATTTCAGCATTCCGGATGTGCCCAGCACTCTCCCAAGCCAAACAAAGGGGGAACTTGGGTCTTTTCAACAGACTGGGGCTGAGGACAAGGCATTTCAGCAGTGCTGAGCAGGGTGTGCAACCACACACGCCAGAGGGAGCAGCATCCTCAAAGGACACAGTTGGTTTGGTGCTGGAGCAGCACTGATTTGCATTCCCCAAGCAAGGCTGGTCTCACGTTCGTAGAGAATGACTGGTCTGCTCTTCTCAGGCACCCAAATGCAATCCCTAGAGCCTCTTGGGCTTAAAACCAACCTTCAGGTGTTAACTCCAGCCATACTGCAGACAGCTCTCCATTTCCTTTGCCATGCAATGTGGCTGGTGAAACCCTGCTGCTCAAGTGATGGGGCAGTGACAGCAGAGACAAAGCACCCTCAGTTTTAATTTGTCTGGTTCTATGTGGTACAGAGGAGCATGAGCTGCCCCCTAACTCAAGACCCTCTTTGGCAGCACAGACTGCTCTCCAACCTCCAACATCCCCACAGAGCAGTGGGTCAGACCTGGGCTGGCAATCCCTCCTCTCCCTGCTCACGGATGCTTGCTTCAGTAGACATAAGCCAGAGAGGCTTTCAATGAGCAGCCTGAACACTTGAACATACACTTCATTAACCAAAGTATAATTAGGGGAATTACACATGCCGCTCATGGGAGTGAGAGCCCAGATTTAATCAGATGAAAGGCCAGACCTCTGGTCCTCCATTTGCCCACGTTCAGGTGGCTCCTTGGGGGAAGCTGGGCTGGTGAGGGACACTTACTGCTTTGCTAACAGCCATCCGCAGCTCCGCAGCACCTCCGAAGTTTTTGGTCAGGGCTCTGGTGACAGGGACGTAAGCCATGGGGATGACTTCAATAGGAATTCCCTTCTTCCACTGCTCCCCGAGGCTCTCTGATTTTTTCCTGAGGATACAGTTTGAGGTGGGATCAGGGTCGGGCATTACATTGCTAACACCACTATCACATCACCTCTTGCAGACCCCACAGGCATAACACCCTGAGGGCACAGCAATCCGTTCACACGTGTAGGAAGAATCAGTTCAATGTATGATGCTTTGTTAACTTATAAGCCCTGTTTTGACATGTTTTGGACAAGCAGGAAACGAGCTGTTTTTCCTACAGCCCTGCAGCACTATGTACAGGAAGAGAAATCTATTCTGTGCTGACAATCACTGAGCTCAAAGAGCAGAGCAGCCATTTCCCCACAAGCCCTGCTGACTCCTAAGCAGGCCTGCTGAGCTGAAAATTAAGAAGAAAAGCTAAACTGAACTGATAAAGCACTGGGAGTCAGGCTCATTTGCACCTATTCCTGCTCCCCTGACCCTCTGGAAGGACAACAGTGGCCTAACACAGGACTATCTGAATCCTCCCACAGGACAGAGGTGTGATAGACAGTAATATCTTCACCTGTAATCAGCAATAACAATGAAGCATTTTGCATATCCTGCAACTATCTTCTCTTGTGTCAAGCAGCCACTGCACGGGGGAGAAAATAGAAATAAAATAATCAGAAAACATCAGATTGCCCCTCAATGTGCCCAATGGCCTTGAAATCCAGTCTCCTGGATCATGCTCTTGTTGGGTTTGGTGCTGCCGTTGCCCCACACCAATGCTCCTTCCCCCGCCCCATCACTTTATCCCCCTTGTCCCTCACACACACTTGGTCAGGAGCCATCTCCCATTGCAGGTGCATGCACAGGACCCCCTCAGCCTCTCCAGCCCACCCCAGAGACCCTGGCAGGCACAAAGGGATGCTCAGAGGCCACCCGCCACCAGCACCCTGCACAGGACAGCAAGGCTCACCCGCCACCTTTGATAAGGTTGAGGTCAGAGTCCACTTCATCTGCTCCATCGATGGCAACGTCGAGCTGTAGGGAGAGGAGAAACTTGGTGTGGAAACCCCTCCTGTGCAGCACCCAGGCACTGCTCTTTGTGCAGCTCAGGATCCGAGCAGCAGCCAGAAATGTCACTAGAGCTGGGACCACTTTGATGCCAGCCTGACCACAGATCAGCATCCCAAGGATGCCAGGACCCACTAAACCACAGGCATGTGAGAGCAGGAGAAAGAAAAGCCAAAACCTAATTGCTGGCCTCCAAGGCACATCACTTTAGCTTCTAGTGTCACTTAAGGACCAGCATGCAAGCAGGGAGCTCACGGGGGAAATCTTGGTGACAATTCAGCAACATGATATTCCTATCTCAGCCTGAAAGAGATTCCACCTGGAGGAAACCCAACTCGGCAGCCTGTTCGCTACCTAAAGCATCAAGCAGTAAGACAAGGCTTGGGGAAGAACATAAACTAAGGCAGTTCTCACTCATGCTGCCTCAACTCATGTCCTCAGGGGAACACAAAGGAGCCTGGTGCTTTATGAAGGACCAGGTTTAGAGGAAGGTCGGGTGAGGTCTCACCTCTGCGGTCCTACTTACCTCTGGATGTCGGTCCAAGTCACTTAGTGTTAAGCCATTCTGCAGGATCAGCTGACGGGCCTGTGCACCAAGAAGACAGCAAACACCATTTACTGGTGGCAAACACCATTTACTGGTGGCAAACACCATTTACTGGTGTCAGGAAAGGGAAACAGACCCGTGGTGTCAATCCCTCAGCTGCAGCAAGGATGGAGTCTGCTTGGAAGAGCTCCACTGCTCCACCCTGCGCCTGGAGAGGCTGCAGCCAGCAGTGGGAATGCATGGCAAGGAGAAAATGATGCTCCCACACCAGATTCATTTAACCAAAGGAAAACCTTGCTGCTGATTGGAACTAAAATGCTCAATGGTACAACAGAGCTCCTGGGTTCAGGTCTCTGCACTAAACAGCAGGAGGCACCATCAGCTTGGTGGGAATCGCTTGTATCTAAACATCAGAGCAGACATGGGGGGTTTGAGTCCTCTGTTGTTTCAGCTTGGATATCATTCTCCCTCACACACATCCAGCCCCTCTGATTTCCTTCAGCTGAAAAATGGGAGCAAGAAGATGAAGTATTTACACCATGGTGATGCAGAGCTAACAATGAAAATACTTTTCATATTGGAAACAAACAAGCAAACAAACAAGGTTATAAAGAAAAGTCCAACTGGTGGAAGAAGAGTGGGAAGCCTCTAAAATAGGTACTTAGCAGCTCCAATCTCCTTCCACTGAAGTGCCTGTGTATTTCCCTCTAGGGGCAGTACAACACAGAGCACCCAGTGACCCTCCACTCAGTTCATCAGTTTAAAGAGAGACTCCTAGAACTGTTTAGGTTGGGAAAGACCTTTAAGACCATTGAGTCCAACCATTAACCTAGGAGTGACAAGTCCACCACTCAACCATGTCCCTGTGTGCCACATCTACAAGTCTTCTAAATACCTCCAGGGATGGTGACTCCAGCACTGCCCTGGGCAGCCTGTGCCAGTGCTTGACACCCTTTCTTTCTGTGATGAATTTTTTCCTAATATCCAATCTAAACCTGCCCTGGTGCAGCTTGAGGCCATTTCCTCTTGTCCCATCCCTTGTTCCTTGGGAGCAGAGACCAGCCCCCTCCTGGCTCCATCCTCCTGTCAGGCAGTTGCAGAGAGCGATAAGGTCCCCCCTTGAGCCTTCTCTTCTCACCACTAGACAAAGCTCAGAGAGGACCTTTTAGACCATCTCCTTTAGACAACCTTCTCTCCCGTGACAGGACTGGCAGTAACGTACACCATCGTTCCCATACACCGCACACACTGAGAGCTGCAAATGCAGCATTCCCTGTACCCACAATGACTACCAAGCAATGCTGCTA